CCCCCCCCCCCCCCCCCGGTGGTCAGTGCGCATTATAGCGACCAGTTGTTCCAACTTTCGGTCAATTTGCATATTAGCCTTTTATTGTATAGGATAAACCACTTTTCTCCTTAAAAAATAACTACCAAAGGACAAATGAAAAAAGCAAATAAAATTATAAATCTAGATGTGTAATATGTGATATATATATAGAGAGAGAGTGCCCCCCAAAATGTATACACACTTAACAGCTGATAGCTCAATTGATGTTTCTTTCTTTTCAGATTTAACCCACTGGAATCAATAATTGTTCAAAGTGTGTACACTTTTTGGGGGGACACCATACATATATATCTCTCTTTAAAAACAAATTTTTTCTCCAACTCATTTTCTTCCTTAGTCCCCCATGCTGTTTATTCTGGTTGAAGTGGTTGCAGCCAGAAACAAAAATGCCCCCCTTGGGATTTCTTGTTTAAAAAACCCTTTTTTCAAAGGGCTTGTTTTCTTAGACTTGGAAGCTGTTGAAAGGGGCCAGATGGATAGCCTTGGAGGCTGTTTATCTGCAGAGGAGAGCAGGTGTGGATGGGGCATCCTGGGCTTCCCACGCAGCACAGCTTCCAACTCGTGCCCTCCTGGGTGACAGCTAATATTAAGTTGGGAAGTTAAGAGGACTCCCTGAAATAAAAGTGGACTCGACAAATCAGCAGCACATTCCTTTCCTGTCACTGTTGTTGTTGATATTACACGCTAAGACCCTCCCATCCAATACTCCTTAAAGTCTGATATTAAGGAGGATATTGGAGGATGCAGTGCAGTGTGGGATTGCAGGATGAAGGGCTAGTAGGTGAGAGAGTAGGGAGGATGGTGAAAAATGGTCTGAACTTGCCTTTTCATACAATGCTATCTGCATTTTGTGATGTCTTTTCTTTGTAAGTATGTGGGAAGGACCAAACCATCCCTCAAACATTGGCCCTAGCCTTAACGAGTTGCTGAATCGAAAGTAGTATCCACCTTTTCCCAGATTTCTTGTTTTATGAGAAAAAAATATATTATTTATGCCATTATTACTTGGGTTCTCCTTTATTTGTGGTAGAAACATTCATTCCTAACTGAATCAGGAGGAAAAAGGGAACTGGAAGAAGTTTGTATGAATCAGAAATTGAATAAACCATGCTTAAAATCAACAGCAGTGTCTAGCACATAGTAAGTGCTCAATAAATATTTTAAAAAGAAATATGGATAGATATATGAATCTTGCAGGACTTTTGTGCCTGTAAATTGACATGAAATAATCCCTCTAATATTCCAGCTACTATTTGCAATTTTGATTCAGGGCTATCAGGGATTCATGCAACAGGGAAAGGGGAGCGTCCCTCAACCTGGCCTGTACCCTCTCGCAATTTGGGACTTCTTGGTCCCTCAGGGGATGTCAGACTGCTGGTTTTGGCCCAATCCCCACAGGCCAGGCCGAGGGACCCCCACCGGTGCACGAATCCATGCACTGGGCCTCTAGTATGCATATAAGATCTTTGGTTAATCTCTTCCTGCCCTCCTCCCTACCCCCTTCCCTCTGAGATTCATCAGTCTGTTCCATGTTTCCATGTCTGTGGTTTCTGCTCCTACATTGAGCGTCTTTCCCCTGGTGGTCAGTGCATGTCATAGCTATCGGCTGGTCGGCCAGTTGGCCGGTCACTTAGGCTTTTATACATATAGATACACACAAAGAGAATCTTCTTAGGGTTAAAGCATTGCCTTTTAAAACAAATGTTTTTATTGATTTTAGAGAGAGAGGAAGGGAGAGGGAATGAGAAACTTTGATCAGCTGCCTCCTGCACACCCCCTATTGGGGATCGAGCCTGCAATCCAGGAATGTGCTCTGACCCAGAATTGAAACTGGCAACCTTTTGGTGCATGGGACAGGCTCAACCAACTGAGCCACATTGGTTAGAGCCACCAGTGCCTTTTATTTTGTTTTATTATTTATTTATTTATTTTAGAAGCGAAGGGAGAGGGAGAGGGAGAGGGAGAGGGAGAGAGAGAGAGAGAGAGAGAGAGGGAGACATCAATGATGAGTGACTCATTGATCAGCTGCCTCCAGCCAGCTCCACACCAGGGATCGAGCCCACAACCCAGGCATGTGCCCTTACTAGGAACTAAACTGTGACCTCCTGATTCATAGGTTGTTGCTCAACCACTGAGCCATGCCAGCCAGTCACCAGTGCCTTTTATAGAAGTTCAGGGAATTTAGCTACAAAGCACTTCCTTATATTTAAAACCTGAGAAGATACCAATGAAACTTAGCTGATTTTGTAGAAGAATTTATGAATTATGGCAAAGCTTCTTCAAAAGCAATTATACCAATTGGGGGGGGAGGGGGATTCTGATCTAGCCATCCCTAGCATAGCTTGCAAATGCATGGCACATCCTATATAATAAAAGGCTAATATGCAAATCGACCGAACAGCAGAATGACCGGTCGCTATGATGTGCACTGACCACCAGGGGGTAGACGCTCAATGCAAGAGCTGTCCCCTTGTGATCAGTGCACTCCCAGAGGGGAAGCACCGCTCAGCTAGAAGCCTTGAGTCGGGCACAAGGCTGGTGAGCACAGTGGCAGTGGTGGGAGTCTCTCCCGCCTCCATGGCAGCGCTAAGGATGTCCAACTCATGGCCTAAGGGAGCGGGCCTAAGCCAGCAGTCAGACATCCCCCGAGGGTTCCTGGGCTGCAAGAAGAAGATAAAGTTCTAACATTTCAGTTTCCTTGGAAGATGAGTAGATAGTTTCAGTAATATTTTGTCCATATTTTGTGACATCAATGATAACAAATCATATGTATTAGTTATCAGAAAATGAAATGTGTATTTACAAATAATTGCCTGATTTTAATTTTGTGATGAGGAAGGAAGAGGGCTACAATTAAAGTAATAGAAATGTCTTCTCCTTCCTCTCTCTCAACCCTCCCCAAAACAAAAAATTTCCTGAGATTTTTAAAAATAGAAATCCTTATAGAAACTGTATAACATAATGGATTGTTTTGTTCATTTTTCATTTAATAATAGTCATAAATAATAACCAAATATTAGAGTTCTTTTGATTCATGGATTTGCACACTTTGTCCTTGGCTTCTCTCAAAGTGTGAGATTATGAGAGAGACTAGCTGTGACAAGACTTAAGAGGAGAAAAAGATCCTGATTACTGGTAGAAATATAGCTAAGGAGAGCCATAAATGTAATAGAAAAGAATATCTCAACTGAAGAAAATAATCCTAGCTTTCCCATGCACATGAGCAACTCCCTGGGTGGGCTGATTTTGTGAGTCAATCAGACGCAAAGTATAGGTCTAGAGATTACAAAGAAAATAAATACATTTGTAGGTCAGAAATATCTCACTTGGTCTGAATTAACAGCTTTTCTTTCTCACTCATTTTCACTAATTGGTGTGTGTGTGTGTGTGTGTGTGTTTCTTTGATTAGTAATGCACTTACCATTAATTTTGATACAATGTAATTTTAGAAATACATATTTCATTTACTCATATTTTTGAGTTGACTTTATTTATACTCTCTCCCTTCTTTAAAAAGGCTAGAGGTTTGTTTCATAGGCTTTTGGTAAAAGTCACTTGTTAATTCAACCATTAGTTATTGAAAATCTACTGTGCTCAAGGCACCTTGAACTTTCTAAAGCTGAATAAAATGTGGCCCTTGATGCTTGAGTCTTGGTATGTTATCTTGCCAAGAAGCAGCTGATTTTTAACAAGATGATAACAACCCTGGTTGCATACCAGAATCACATGCGAAGCTTGTTAAAAATACACCTGCCCAAGCTCCAGCTCTCAGCTTAGGGAAATTCTGGTAATAGGTAGGGCCCGAGGTGTGTGCAATTTTAACAAGCTTCCAAAGTGAATCTAATGCACAAACCAGGATTAGGAACCAACTTTAATTAAGAAAGGACTAGCTGCAGTAGTTCAGCCACAAGTCAACCAAATGAATGTCCTTGACATCTACAATATAGCAGCTGGCTGAAGTCATTTAAAAGGCTGTTTTTCTCTATTTCCACCGCTTCAGAGTGGGTAGTTCCAGGCTGAAAAGCACGCCAGAGGAATGGGTGGGCCCAATCTTTTCTGTCAAACCCCTGGAACAAGACTGTTATGGAGAAATAAGATTGCTACAGCCAAAGATCATCTCCAAAGCCGCCCCACTCTGTCCTTATTTGCATCTCACACGAAATGTTCTTATTTGTGTAAATTTTCTCCTTCAGTAGATTGTGAAGTATTCCGGGGTGGGAGCAGTCCTCTTTCTTTCCCCGACTAAGGAACACAGTCACCCATACAGAATAGGCACTGACAGGTGTTTGTTTTGAACTGAATTGAATCCTCATCCGACTCCTGGGGTCTGACCATAGACGTATGCATCTATTCATAGTGGACATTTATAAATATCCACAAAAGTATACGTTTGCTTAAAAAACATTTCAATCACACAAAAGAATCTGTAACATACATAAGAAAGAAAGAACAATAACAACAAGCACCCTGGACTCACATCCCAGTTGATGAAACAGGAAGTCGCCAATACCTTTGAGGTTCCCTAGACCCTTTTGAACAATAACAGGCTTCTGAAACTTAAGTCAGAACGCGCGTATTCAGTCATGGATGGATTGGATCATCCGTTCATTTGTCAAATGTGTCAGAATCGATGATGACCAGGTGGTTATTTCTACTGTCGGAGCGAGCTGGGTCCAAAGTGACATGAGCTCTCTCTAGAGGCGTACAGATTGCCTTTGCTGCCAGCAGTCCTAACGCCGCGGGGTCCTCCCGAGCCCGCGTGGTTTCGGCGTGCGGACACTTTGGGCCGAAACTACGCGTCCCGGCAGTCCGCGGGGCGAGTGGGCGGAGCCGGGCCGGGGGCGGGGGCCCGGCGAGAAGGGGCATTGTGTCGGCAGCGCCGAGCCGCATTTGTCTGCTCGAGGTGCTGGCGGAGCGAGCGTTGTGTCCGGCGGCCGGTCGCGAGGTGGAAGTGTCATCGGTGGCCGCGGCCCCGGGAGGAGACCGAGTCGGAGGAACCTCGCGCCCGCTGTCCACGACCACCGGCAGGGAGCGGCGTGCCAGCGGAGCAACATGCAGATAGGCGCCCGGCGCCCTGACGACCCCTCCAGAGGAAAAGAGTCCGGGGCGGCGCTGGGGCGGCGGGGAGCATGAAGGCGGCCGGGGGGCGGCTCAGCTCGGAGCGCTGCTAGGAGCGCTGCACAGTCGCCAGGGCGCAGCGGAGGGCGGGGAGCCGGGCGGGTCGCGCCAGCGAGCGGGAGCGGGTCGCCGGGAGCTGTTCTGATTTTGGACGCGGACGCTAGGGGCCCGGAGCAGCCCCCGACCCCGGCGTGCAGCCAACATGGGCAACGCGGGGAGTATGGATTCGCAGCAGACCGATTTCAGGGCGCACAACGTGCCTTTGAAGCTGCCGATGCCCGAGCCAGGTGAACTGGAGGAACGATTTGCCATCGTGCTGGTGAGTGCGCGGCGGCGCAGCTGACCCCCACCCCCTTCCCTTCTCCCCGCGCGGGGAACAAGCCTGTCCCAAGGGGAGGGCGCCCACCTTCCCCATTGTGGCCTCCCCCGCCTCACTCCTTTCTGTCCCCCTTCTAGACCCCGCGCTCAGTTCTCTTAGGGTCCCGGGATGGGGCTAGGGCTCGGTGCGGGCTGCCTGGCCAGCTCCGAACCCATTGTCTGGCGGGAGAGGCACCTCGCGGCGTGTGTGCCCGGGAGGTGCGGCGTGGGCGTGAAGGAAAGGTGGCGCGGGCCGGGGAGGAGCGGGTAGCGAGTGGCTAAAGCTTATTGTTAAAAAAAAAAAAAGCCGCAAACCCGGCGTCCCTGCGGACCATCCCGGCCTGCGGGGTCCGGGGCCGGTGGGTGCATGTGGCCGGCCTGGGCTACGCGCGAAGGGGAACTTGGAGGCGGAGGGGTGCTCCCCTGAAAGGGAAGGAGAGGGAGCCTTAGGCAGTGCGGCGCCCTGGTCCTTAGGCGAGGAGAGGGCATCTGAGCCCCAGGCGCGAGAGGAGCTTCGCCTCAGCGCGTTCCTTTTGGTTTTAAATCTAAAACCACAAAAATGTGCTGTTTTGCGGGGACGTGTTGCGAGCTGTTCTGACTCCAGGCGCGACCCATCCCCTCCCTTCCCAGCCAAGTCCCGGCTCCCTTCCGAAACCCGCTTCTCCTAAGTTTACAGCTTTTCAAATCCAAGACAGAATACTCCCTTCTTTCTCCCTTTTCGGCTGGGACTAAGTTTGGGGGCCCCTCCCTGCCGCTGCTGGTCAGTGCTGTGAGCTCAAGAGGGTGTGGTGTGGTGGCCTCCCCCTCGCCCCAGCCAGAGTCTACTGCAGTTGGTCCCCAGACTTTGATTTGTAGCATCCCAGCCTCTTCTAAGGGACGCGGGAAGGGAACAGGCCAGATCGGACGCGTTCCTCTTCCTTACACTTTACTTGTACATTTCCCTCTTCCCAGTCAGTGGTTCTCAACCTTCCGGCCCTTTAAATACAGTTCCTCATGTTGTGACCCAACCATAAAATTATTTTCGTTGCTACTTCATAACTGTCATGTTGCTACTGTTATGAATCGTAATGTAAATGTCTGATATGCAGGATGGTCTTAGGCGACCCCTGTGAAAGGGTCGTTCGACCGCCAAAGGGGTCGCGACCCACAGGTTGAGAACCGCTGCCTGCAAGGCTGGGAAGCAAGAGGAACTTGTGCTCGAGGCAGCCACATTTTGCGTTTGCCTGCGGGTTTTTGGCTTGTAGCTCACCACCTCGGGAAAGGACCCGAGTCCGAACACTGACTGGGACATTTAATTGGTCCCTTTTCAGGCCCGGTTTGATATCGGGAATCATGGTCTGGAGGGCAGGTTAGCTTTGTGCTCTTTGAGAGAACAGAGGCCACGCGCTTTTCCACACCACCCGGAAGCTGGTGTGGCAGTCGGGAGATAGATGAGGCTGCCTGTCTTGCTTTGAATCTTCTGTGATCTCCCACAGCTGCTCCCACCTTGTGCAAGATGGGACCCTCTGAAATGAAACAGCATAGGCTTAATTACTTTTCAAGGCAGCCTGGGCGCATACTTGACTTGCCTTTCCAGAGACAAACCTTTTTTATTCCAAATCCTCTTCCCACGAGACACATGGTTCTTACTCCCAGCTCTGAGTTTTCTCTTTCCATCCATCCATGCCCTGGTCTGTGGTGCTGTGTGTGTGTGGAGGGACTTGCAGTGGAAGGGCCAGTGACAGAGGAAAACCAGATAACAATAATGCAATTAAATTCTGCTCAGCTGGGATAGCATGTTTTGCATGAGCTCTCAGTTACGGTGCTGATTCATAACACATGGTATGAATTAATCCTTAGAAAAACAACGTTCCGTCATTAACATGGTTGATTTGTGTTACTATTAAGTCTAGCAATCACAAATTTAGTACGTAGACATTTATGATTCTACAGTATGAGCTCCTTGGGGGTGATGGCTGGTTGTTGTGGCTACTTTTACTCTGCTCACACACAATTACTGGATGCGGCTCCTTTTGTAATTGTTTACAGTAGTGTAAGCCTATCAAAACAAACAAAAAAACAAAACCGAAAAGCACTAGGCTGACCTTTTTTGAATAGAGACAAAACTTTTGTTTTGGGAAAATCTCAGCTTGGGGGCCCATTGATGTGGTGTTTAATGTCAGTCACTCCTTAGCTCCAGCTGCTCTTTGAAAATCTACAAGTGGAATTAAAGGGAATGTGTATGGGTTGATAGAAATTCAAAGTTATGATTTCTCTTCTGGTCAGTTTCTGAAGTTGTATATGCAGTGCTCTCAACTTTGCTTTTCTTCACGAATTGCTTAAGAAATCAGCTCAAACCACTTAATTCTGGAGATCAAATTTTAGATTGGCAAGTTTTTAAGTTTATATGTGGAGAAATTCTCTACTCTGAGGCACTGGGAATCATTTTGGCATTATTGATCCTAGGTGGTTCCCTCTCTTCCCCCCTATATGATAAAGATCATATGTGTTTTTGGGAAAACCAGATAGTAATACAGTACAGAAAATTATACAAGCGCCTCATTGTAAGTATGGCTTAGTACAGCCGTGGGCAAACTACGGCCCGCGGGCCAGATCCGGTCCGTTTGAAATGAATAAAACTAAAAAAAAAAAAAGACCGTACCCTTTTATGTAATGATGTTTACTTTGAATTTATATTAGTTCACATAAACACTCCATCCATTTGTTCCGGCCCTCCTGTCCAGTTTAAGAACCCATTGTGGCCCTCGAGTCAAAAAGTTTGCCCACCCCTGGCTTAGTACATCAATAATTAACGAGCCATTTCAGGCATAGAAAACAATTCCTCCCACCTTCAAGCTCTAGAATATTTAATGCATTGGAGAAAAGTAAATAAAAATAAAAGTGACAGAAGTCCATCTATTTCTGGAAAACTTAAGAGAGAGCAAACCTACTCAATGGCTGTTCCCCCACCCTCCTCAGTCTATATGAGTTAAATTGTATAAATCTAAAAAAATTAGTGGGTGTGAGTGGAAAGGTGAGAGGAGAGAGTAGAAGGCTGCTGAATTAAGAGCAATAGAGGGATAAACTTTATAATAGTATTTTTATAGGAAAAAATGAGATTTTTCAATAAATTTGTGTTAACTGAACTTTAATTAATGACCAGTAAAACATGGATCCAGTTCTTGGAAGCTTAATCCTCCTAAGAAGAGTCTCACCCCTCCCTGTGCGATGTTTCTGTTACAATCTTTGATGGAAGTATTTCATAAATTGTACATTTAATTATCTGCTTCAAATTCTGTTTCTTTAGGGTGTATATATTTTATGTATTTTACAGGTAACATTGACCTGTATTTTTGGGGTCTTGCATATTTATAATTAAACTAGAGGCCTGATGCACGAAATTGGTGCAAGGGGCTTGGCCTTGCAGCTCCAGCTGCCCTGGCCTGCCTTCGCAGCCCTGGCTTAGTCTGGAATGTCCGTTTGGCCTTTGGTTTAATTAGCATATTAGTTCTTTATTATATAAGATATCTATGTGGCTCTCCATTATTAAACACTCTCTGATTGTTGGGAACATCACACATACGCACATGCACTCTAACACTCCCATGTCCTTTATTTTCAGAGATGACACTAGGAAGTTGATTTTGGGTGTGGTGAACAACTGATTATCTTTGTTCAAGAGTACCTCTTTCTACTGTAGATACTCCTATTACTCATGAATTTATGGCTTGCAGTCGCTGTTTGTCCCCCACTGCCCTTGTCAAAGAGCTGTCCTCAGGATTCTTTCTTTGAGTTTCAGAGGAAAGGATAATTTTAAGCCTTGTATCCCAGCTGCTGTATCTCTGGGATATCAGATATCAGGCTGCTCATCCAACAGATTACAAAAGACAGATTAGGAAGTGATGGTTTAGGGCAGTCTTCTATGTTAAATACTGGGAACAGCTTTGGTATGTGATTAATTTGAGTCAGTTTCCGTTTTTGTTTTTGTTTTTGCTTGCCCTGAGGTTGAATGTGGTCATTTTGTTTAGGAAGAAGCACAAACATTTTCTGAGTTCCTACTATGAGTACTCCCTATGCTTACATGTTCTCATATAATCCTCACAATAACTCCAGCTATGGGCAACATTTTAGTCGAGGAAATAAAGGTTACTGAAATTGCCTGAGGTCATAGAATAGCCAATCTAGGATTTTAACCCAGATTTGGATCTCTGCATCCCCCCCTCCCCCCATTATATTGTACTTTCTTAAGCCTAGAACTGGGAAGGAAAAAAAGGGTGGGGGGACTAGCAGTAAAGCTGTAAAAAAAACCCCCAAAACCCCCAAACCAACTAAATCAGGTAAATGCAAGTATCCAACTATAAAATTGGCAGACATTTCTTAGATTGGTTAAAGTGGGGTGCACTTGATGCTTCTCTTCACGTGTCAGACATTTTGGCATCTTCACTGTGCTGTGCTGTTCTCAGGCATGGAGTTCAATGTTCACTTAGTCTAAAAGTGCGCTCTTCGGTTTTCCCTAAGCAGGCAGATTTGAACTGCTTGGTGGGGAAGGTTGGGGTTTCCACATCAGGGGGAAGAGGCAGTCTGTCAGTGCAGTGCCTACACTCCAAATGTAATTACTTGTGAAAGGGACAAGGAAGGTCAAGTCTTTCCAATTAAGTTGATCTCCCACTGCAAGGTGTTGTTCCCTTTCAACCACTTCCAAGGAGAGCTCTTGCCATGAAGTCTGCTGAGCAGATGGGTGGGTAGCAGTGAAGTGAGGCCATCCTCAGATGCATGCTGATTTGTTTTCTCACATCCCTTTTCCTGTTGGGAAAGAAGGGAGCTGAAGAGTTGTCACTTTGTGCCATTGCAGCCTCATCCTAGGCAGTCATCCCCTGAGCTGTTTTATTCTCAAAGTAGAAATTTATGCTTAGGACTGTGCTTATCATCATCTCGGTGTACTCCACCCTCCCCCGCCCCGCACAGTACCAACATATAGAGGTA